TTATAAGAATGTATAAAATAATAGCAATTCAGATTTTTGAACGCTAATTTTTTAAAGAAGCATTTTTGATCCGTATACAATATATAGGAAACTTTTTGTTCAGAATAAAATTTCCTATAAAATCTTAAAGTCTGATCGCACGCATGCACAAACGCTGAAAGATATCCTGTATAAATTTATATATACATATAAACTATAACAATATACATATAAACATTTTCATTTTTCACATTCCCGTGGGAAAAGTTACATGATAGGTACTCAAAATTCGAATTCCAGCTTAAATTTTTCATAAGTTTGATACTAGCAGCGTGAGCATTATCAAATCAATTTATAATAATTTATAATATTATTTTAACAGCTTCAATTTGTTATTTTGCTCAAGTCTGATTAACGATAATACGCAGTTTTATTTATGAATTGGAAGATAAAATTTACATAAAATTATTTATAAGTACCAATATCTAGCCTCAACTGCATTTGACACTTTCTTTATACAATTATTTAATACTTTTCTAAATTTTATACAAAAATGATTTTTTTTTTGCAAAATATTAATTTAAATTAATAATTATAAATAAAACATTTTTAATTTTTATTGGTATATTTTTCAATATGCATATTAAAACACTTCAAACTCTCTTTTTATAACTAAAATCTTTTAGAACTAAAATCTTTTGTTACACGTTACGCATTAATGTTTAGTATAACATCCGTATTACTATTATTGACATAAAATATAAACATGATTCAAATCTGATATAATAACTGATACGAAAAACTATGATCCGTATTCAGAACGCGTTTTTACAATGTTAGTGCTTATTTAACATATAGTTCACGTTACGTATACTAAAGAATTTTAGATAAAAAAGTAATTATAAAGTGTTTATCGATAAAAGCGTGCTATGAATACAGGTCAATAACTACAGATGTTATTCAATTTGATTATTGGTGAAGTATATAAATATAATGTCAGTTATATTGTAAGAAAGAATTTTTCTTTTTGGATAAAGTTTTTTCCTATTGCATCATCAATCGTTATCTACACAATTTTGTAAATAACGTAATAATAATAAATAAATTTCAACGCTAATAAGAGTCAGCGCAAAAGGGGTTGCACACAGTTATCGATAAATAATCTTCATAACACTGATGTCTTCTTTATTTCGTAATCTTGAACGTTTAATCTTCAACTCGTTTTGGAATAATTTCTGAAAAAGCGTATATATTGTGAGAACAAAAAGTATTCGTACAAGGAAATTTTTTATAAAAACAGTCTTATTTGTAAAAAATAAACAACATAACATTAATTAGCAATTTTATCAATACAATGAACATATTTTGTTCTAACATAAACAAATGCTTCGCATGTATTCCTGATTCTAGAAGCTAAATTTCTCGACTGTACGAGTACTTTTGGAGCATTCAAACAATAGAATTTTTAATTTTTGCTTATTTTTCAGATGATATATTTTCTATAATTAATGCACATCTTTTTGGTATATATTAATTTTAAGACACATACAGTCTATTTTAATGTTTATGAATAAATTGTTAATTATCTAGCAAAAAATGTCAATTAAACGTCGCATTGGTGTCGAATTGGTGTTGAAATCATCGATACCGATTCGACATCAATTTGATGACTCATTTCTTGCTGAATAATATTTATTGTTTGAAAATAAGGTTTTTTCAAAAAATATTTTCTCCGTACAAATACTTTTTGCACTTACTGTACATATGCAAAAAATGGTCTAAACTTGCGTTCAGACACATGATCTCCATTACGCCTAAGCGACAATGTTAAATAGATTTATTAATTAGCAATATAAAGGTTTAAATTACAATATAAGACTCCACAGATAAACTCAATAATGATAATGTAAGGAAATGCCTATGTGAACCAACACTAGATATTTGTATATAATAATACATATATTAAAAATTTTAATACAGACATTTCAACTCTAATATTACATTCTCCTCAATGTAAAAATGTTAATAGCCATCTATAGAGATATAAAATAATGTATTTACTCGCCAAGAAGAGTGTCGTCAAATCATCATTAAACTGTTGTCAAAAATTGAAAACTTCTATGAAGCTTATATTTTGTCGGATATACAAACTGACCATGTTAGATGTACTTCACTAAAATTAAGTCAATAGAATAAAATGGTATAATTAAAATTTAAAATTATATAAGTCAAATTCTTTAAAAACTTACATTAAAACAGATTAACAATGGTCTGTTACAAACTATGCAATTACAAAGAGATGTCATTATCGAATGTAAGATCAGAATGAAATAAGAATAACGCAAGTGTGAGAACGCAATCAACAGTACCGAAATAAAAATAAATTATAAACATAAAATTATTAATAAATATTTAGAATTTAAAACAAGGAAGCTTTCGTGATATAAGGGGTTTAATAAATTCGTGTCATTTTGTAGATTTAAACCATTTCTTTGTTTTTTGATGAAAATTACCCCTGAAATTAATCTTTTATTATAGTCCTTTTCCTTATCTAAAACGTTCCAGTCAACATCATGGTTGTGTTCTACGATTCTATGTTCATTGATGACAGACTTCGTTGCTGCTAATGTGGTTCCGATATTCATTCATTCTTATCTTTAACAATCGTTTCGTCTGGCCCACGTAGGATGCATCACAATCCTTACAATCTTGTATATTACGTTAGAACATGAATACACAAACTGGTAATTTATCCTTCTACGGATATTTCTCAATAAAATATAATGATGAATTCGAAATTTTTGTTATGAAACATAGGATGCAACAAAAAAATTACTCTGTCAATTAAATTAATAATTGTGCCTATTTTATGGCACAATGAATGGCAAGAAAAAAAGTTCAAGTAACGTACCGAGAAAATCGGTTTGTGATACCAATCATGTATCAATTTGTTTCCTTTTTTGATCAAAGTTAGATCCAAGAAATTCAACTGTTGCCCCCCAATTCTACTGTGAACTTCAATCTGGGATGACAATTATTGAAAGTATTACCCCTTACTCTACTAGGTACAATTTAGTGCCATACTAATCTCGTCCATACTAACGAAGGCACTAGAATCCGTTCGTTTTTTTCACATATTCAAAATAATTCAAAAAATCTCTAAAAATTTACTTTCAACATACTTTCAACTTTCTAGAATAAATATTGGCACTTTATTTTGATAATAGAATGTAGTATAATTTATAATTATGTAGTATAATTTAAATTATGTAGTATAATTTATAATTATCGAAAGACGCAAAGAAACTTGCACGAACAGGAATCGCTCGGTAACTAGTGATCCCTCTTAGTAGGGTAAGAGTTAAATAATTAATCGATATTTTGTTCCTGAATGGATAGAGCAATACATCTACTTACATATCTGTAACAAAATTCTATAGTATATTCTAAAGTAAATTTTAATTATATTGAGAAAAACCCTCTCCAAATCTTATATAACTAAATTTGCTGCAATAGGGACCGCATAGATACTCCAAAAGATTGTTTATAATATTATTAAAAACTAAATACGTAGAATCGAGCTAACCTTATTGCTTTCATGAATTCAATTTTAAGTAAATTAATTTTATCTTGTATGTTTGACCAATGACTTTCTACACTCTCAATGACCATATCTACAGGGACATTAGTATTATATAAAGAGAGATAACATCAAGTAATACAAGGATTGAGTCGACCAATAAATGTATCTGAAGTATGTCTTTAGCTAATTTTTGATAACTATTTTTGATATGTTCCATCGGTTCTTCAAGGCATGAGTCTAAGATTCTATGTAAAAAAAAAAAGTACGTTGCTAAATTATGCAAAGGGCTTTCTATGGATGATATAATAATTCGTAAGAAGTTGTTCGGCTCATGGATTTTTGGTAACGCATATGCTCTCGGTAATATTGTATTCGTCGAATTAAGATAATTGTATGTAGTTAGTCACAAATTCTTGTCGTTTCCAATTTTTTAACAATGATTTTAGATTCTCCAAAATTTTGTTACTCGGATTACGTTTTACAATTATGTAGATATTAGTGTTTGATAATAAAGCTTTATTAATATAATCAAATTTGTCCAGCTACATTTCCTTTATCTGCATGCGTTAGCAGTATTTGTGATCATCTTTATTTGGGATTATCTTCAACTTTTGTTTAGTCGAAATTAAAGAATCTAAAATTTCATCGTCGATATTCGATCTGTTTACAGTTTTAATATTCTGCAAGTATGGGAAAAATTTATTTCTGAAAGTATTTACATTATTGGTTTTTAATTTTAATAGATTATTTTCAATGTATTTGATGAACTCTAATGTAATAGATTCCACATTGTGGGGAGGAAAACAAAAATTTTCTTCTAATTGTAACAAACTTTGAACATTCGCCGGGAAACTCACACTTGAAAGATTTATTATTGAGAGTTTTAGTGACGACTTTCTCGACATGTTACTTGAACTTCTTTTCTTACTATCCATTATGCCATAAAATGTCATAATTATCAATTTAATTGACAGAGTAATTTTTTTGTCGTATCCTATGTTTCATAACAAAAATGTCGAATTCATCATAAATATTTTATTGAGAAAACGGATACCCATTGGATCTAATTTTTAAGAATATCAAAAAAAGGTTATCTAAATTCAAATAATTTAACAACTCAGAATTAATGGTGAACAATAATAAATAAAATAAGTAAAATGAAAAAAATTACATATTTTATCATACCGTATGTATCATCCATCCCCAACAAATTCAAAAACTTTTTTTTAAACAATCGGTTTATACATTTGGCCTACACGGGGATTAACAAATTAAGTTTTTTCATTAAAAGATAGAAGAATAAATTACCAGTTTATTCACGTTCTAATGTAGTATATAAGGTTCATTAAACGGATTGTGACGCGTGAATCAGACGAAACGATTACAGACAAAAATATATGAACATCGGAACCACATTAATAGAAACACAGCAACGCAATCTGTCATCAATGAACATAGAATCGAGCACAACCATGATTTTGACTAGAATAACGTTTTGATTTTAGATGAGGAAAAGAACTATAATAAAAGATTAATTTCACGTTTTGAACCAAATTAGACGAAATTCAATTGTAATATTGCAATGACTCCAAAGCGAGTTGAAACATTCAAAATTACGAAATTAAAGAAGACATCAATGTTATAAAGAAGTAATTGTACTTATCGGTAACTGTGCGCAACTCCTTTCGCGCTGACTCCTATTTTAGTCTTGAAATTTATTTATTATTATTACTTTAAATACAAAGTCTGTTTTAATCATTATATTCTTTGTAGATAACGATAGTATTTAAGAAAAGTTTAGATTCTCAAATCCCTACTAAAAGTAATTCTGACGATATGATTTTATTCATTTGTTGGCTTATCATCAAAGCTGTCCAACACGATAAATATGTTATTTATATGAGAAGTACATATCATGTAAGCATAAATAATAAAATCAAGACATTCAAGATAAGTAATACTATACTACTTTCTAGGCTGGATGACACAGAATAGAACTCAGCCATGATATAGACTGTTCTCCCTAATTATCATATTGATATTGATAATTCAATACTTCTTAAAGCTCGAATATAGTACAGACATGTTAATAAGACACGATACCATGTCTACAAGATTGTAGTAGAACATTATGATGAAGGAAAGGATATTATTAAAAATATTATTGCACATGTAGAATGGTGTTTATACTGCTGCTTTGCCCTTATTACTTGTCAATTATTTAGTATTTAGACTAAATACCTTCCTAATGACATACGAATTAATATCTTCTGAGTACATTAATGACATATTTGTCACGTTGGATAGTTCTGATGATAAGCTAACAAATGAATAACATTGTATCATTGGGAAGTCAGAACTACTTTCGGCAGGAGATTGAGAATCTAAACTGAGGAATTGAGGATCTTTCTTCTTAAACATTATATATATATATTATCTACAAAATTATATATAATGACTAGATGCGAATGGTTCAAAATTCTTATGAAAATGAGCGGAGTTGTTATAACTGTTACTTAGTTTCCTGAGATCTAACCTGTCATCTTTATAATACTTACCGGAAAGAATGTACTTTACTTTTTGATTTAAGATTGCTTACGCATTTTTTTACACTACATGGCATTTTTTACATGACAATTATTGACAATTTAAAAAAAAAAATGAAAACATTACTGTAATGAGATTTTTATGTAATGCGTCGTTTACAATATTCGGCAATATTCGATTATTCACATCGCATGGGTTGCGTTCAGAAATACCACCCGGATACCATTGTGTATCAGAGAAAAGGGACTTTTTCAGAGTCCTCTACATAGAAGTCGTAGATGTGAAGTCTCAAGAAACATATTTCGCGTTTCGCAGTTGCAGCCATGATGTATCATGTGTGCAGGCGGTGCAGTTGGATGTACTGTCCTTGTTTCACGCATTTCTTCAAGCATCAGAGTTTCTTTTTCTCTCCAAACAGAATAAGTCATGATATCAAAATGATGTCGAAATAATCGATGACTCGAAAATGATCATTAAAAATTATTTTTCAATCATTTCCAATTCATTTAAATGTCATTTTGACATTTCCGTAACTAATTGTCCGTAATTAATTGGAACCTGCCATTATGAGGCGCGAAAACTAAACTTATATTCTATGACTGAAGGAGCTATCTTACAGCTCGGCCATTCTGAAAAGGTGTTCGTCCTCAAACATAAACTAAAATACAATAGAGTATGACCTTCGCTGAAGTACATAAAATTAATATAAAGTACATAAAATTGATATAAAAATACTTAGAATAATTGTCCAGTTAAAATAAACAAAATTAGATAATTAATAGTTATACCGGCGCACATCGTAAAAATATTTTTTAAACGTTAATACATTTTTGTTAAAAGAGTTTCTTATATATATTTAGACTTAACAATAATTTATTAATTAATCTTTAATACTGATACAAACTGTTTAAGGAGGAACAAGTTTGATCTAGGGTTTACCAGTGGTAAGCCGGTCTGACGACAAAATAGAATTATAGGATTTCTGTGACCTATTAAATCCTGGAACGTCCTGTATGACGTATCTATTTTTATTTAATACTTTAGTGACCATATATAGTGGTTTATAAGCCGGTTTTAACTTTTGATTTTCACCGAATTTTCGTATGGATTTCGTATCTCTGATAAGTACATAGTCACCTATACTTAGTGAGTACTTTATGCCTTTTGTCGTAATATATTTTATTATACTATTTCAATTCATCGGAGGCTCGCTTAGCTATTTCGCGGGAATAATTGCGTTGTTCCAGTCGCTCCTGAGTCGAAAGAGTGGAATCCGCTAATTTATTCAAAAACAAAGTAGTGGTGAATAAGTTGATCATCAATAACTTTACGCAGAGATGACTTTAAAAAACGGTTCACACGTTCGACTAAACCATTCGCCCAAGGAGCGACTACAGCAACCAATCTATGTTTAATACCTCTTTTTTGTATAAAGTCAGCGAACTCAGAAGAGGTGAATGAAGTCCCACGGTCTGATGCCAAGATGTTAGGATTACCGAAGACATTAAAGATCGGAATTATATTTTCAATTGTTTCTCGTGAACTTGAAGTCTTTACTGGGAGAAGCTAAATAAATCCTATAAATGAATCTATTAACTAGGACATGCTTGCGTCCACTGGTAGATTCTATCAATGAACCAAAATGATCTATGTGTACAGTATACATAGGAAGTTTGAGGGTTTCTTTTAATTGTAATTCACCCTCTTTTGTGTTGACTGAAGTGTTAACTACGAAGCATATCAAACAATTGTCTACATATGACTGTGCTTGTTCATGCATAGACGGGAAATAATAGTCATTGCGTATTCCCTTTTTTAACTCCGCAATGAGCGTTATTATCATGATATACACGCAAGATATTTGTTACCATACAGGTACATAAAAGCGAGGTTTATCGTTATCTTTTCTGTACACTAGTCCTTCTATTAACATAAATTTGTCATGTTCTGATTCTTCGAGGTGATTTAAAATTGTACGGATTCGTAGGTCTGACAGCTGTCGTACTGTAATTCTTTTTCAAGCGGAATTGTTTCAACTGAAGCTATTAGGTTATTCGGAAAGTAATTTCGTTTTTTCTTATGAAAATGAAAGACGATTTTCAATCAGATGCGTTTCAAATGATCATGAACGGTCGAATTCGATAAATTTAATCTCTCAGCGATCTCACGAGTTGTTATTCGCCGGTTTGCATTAATTAATGTCTTTATTGTGTCTTCATCAGCTTCAACTGGCCTTCCAGAACGTGGTGCATCTTTAACATCAAAATTGCCGGATTGAAATTTTGCAAACCAGTTTTGGCACTGGCGTTCTGTCAATACATCTTCTCCATACACATCGGATAATTTTTTTCTTGCTTGAACAGCATTTTTACTTTTTCGATAGTAAAAAAGTAAAATATGCCGAAAATGCTGCTTTTACTTTCATATTTGATAGGGCACCAACCAAAAACTACTGCGTAGAATCAATCGAACTTTTTTTACAAGCAAGCCTTACTGTATCAGCTGTCAAAATATATAATGATTATGCGGCTTAAGTGTGAAGTTGGCTGTGAAAAATATAATTAAGTCCTCTGTTGGGAAAAAACGAAATTACTTTCTGAACAACCCAATATTATGCTGCTTAACGTATCTACATGCATCATCCTGTTTTCCTGTCGGTGCTGAACATTAAAGTCATAATTCTCTAACCGAATAGTCCAGCGCACAATACGCGGATTCAAATTTGCTTTTTTAATCGCATACACAATTGCGTGACAATCGGTAATTACTGTAAATTTAACATATAAATAAATATGAATCTTTCGATCGCTTTAACAACGGCTAACATTTCAAGTTCAAATTAATGATAACGGCTTTCTGCGGCATTCATTGCTTGACTATAATAGGCAATTGTCGCCCACAAATCCGAATTTTGCTTCTGTAAAAGGATTGCTGCTAAAGCAACTGAACTTGCATCCATGTGTAATTCTGTCTCGCAACGCGGATCATATAACTGCAACATCAGAAAGGTAACAAGTGATGATTTTATTCAGCAATATTTTTCGCAATAAGTTTATTACAGTTTTTTAAGTTTTTTGAAATTTTAGGAGGATTATTTGTTTTCAGATATTATATAATAGTTCAATATCTTAAACTCGGACCGGTAAGGCGCTTCGTATTTCAAGTTTTAATATAAACGGTCTCGTTTCCAATCATATTGTTTATACACGCTCGCCTATATATGTGTAACTCTCTATATATATCGGTTATTACGAAGAATGTTGTTAAGGTCTCGGTAATCTAAAGGCTTAGGACGCTCGCACGGAATGCAAGAGATCCGGGTTCGACTCCCGGCCGAGGCAATATTTTTCGCAATAAGATTATTACAGTTTTTTAAGATTTGGGAAATTTTGGGGGGATTATTAGTTTCAGATTGATTGTGTAAATGTCCGATAATCTATCGGCGCGCAATTATTATTTCTGAAAATTAATTTAATTTAAATGAGTGTATATTATATAGGTGTTCAACATCTTAACACTCGGACCGGTAAGACGTTTCGTATTTCAAGTGATGATTTTAATTTTTTTAATGCTGTTATGCATTGTTCGTTAAATTCAAACGTTGATGATTTTTTAAAGTAACAAATTAAGTGGTTTAGCCATCTTAGCGAATCTAGGAAAAAACTAACTAAACCTAGGAATCTCTGAAGTTCATGAATATTTTTAGGCACTGGAATTTTTTTGATGGCTTCTACATGCCGCTCGCTCGGTGCAATTCCCTGATCAATCAAAATATATTCTAAATATTCGACCGTTCTTTTTAGAAATTGACTTATAATTAACTTCGAAAGCATGTTGCTTTAACAAGTACAAACATCGTGACAAAATCTTTAAATTTTCATCCACAGTTTCAGTCGGAATCAAGATATCGTCTACATAAACTAATACCTCATGTTGACGTATTAATGGTCCTATAACGTAATAAACGCTTCTGGAATTCTGCTGGAGATTCCGAATACCCAAACGGTAATTTTACGTACTCACATTGTCCGTCTGGCGTAGCGAAAGAGAAGTACTTAGTGAATTCTGGAGATATTGGAATAGCGTGAAAGCTTCCTTTCAAATCTAAAAGAGTAAAAACGCTTTTATTAGTTAATCTTGATAGTTTTCTATAACTGGAAAAGGATACTTCTGTTTCACTATCCTGTCATTTAAAAGAGACGGAGATCAACACATAATCGCAAATTCCCATTTCGTTTACAGACTGGTACAATACGTGAACAATACGATGAACAACTTTCTTTAATAGTATCACGTCTTAAGAGATCTTCTATAATTTCACGGACGTCTGCAGACGCTCAGTCCATGCAAACTTCCGAGGAGCATACGCGAATATCGAGTTATCTTTGAGCGAGACTGTAACTGGTTCAAGTTCTTCTCGCTTTTCTATCGGTTTGTCATATGAGTCTTTTACAATATTGTATGTTCGCTTATCAACATCATGACCAAAATGTTTTGATTTCTGAAAGAGCAATAGGGAAATCATTCTTCTCAATTATATCCGCTGATGCAACTTTATTTATTAACTTTAAGTTATTCTCATATTTCTTATCCGTCGGTTTGAAATCAGAGTTAAATCATGAAACAAAAAATCTGTACCGAATATTAAATATGTAGACCAATTATCAGTGTCGATAATATGAAATGTACAACTCGGGTAGAAGTTTCTGGCAATACGGACAACCGAATACTGATATCTTTCTGGCCAATGACTTTGATTTGCGAATCGTTTACTGAACGCAAACGTTGGACATGAATTGCGTTATAAAGAAAATTTGAACCAAAAAGGAGTTTACAAACTGATCTTTGTATAAGTGATACTGGGCTACCTGTAATTAATAAGAGCCAGTAGATCACACTTGTTTTCCTCAACGTAATTAACCTTAACTATCGATTTATTTGTTTGAATTTGTGATGTCTCGTCATCCCTGGCGCACGCTACGTTCGTTGGCTCAGTTGAGTTGTCCTTGGTTGATGTGTTTTCTGTTTCGGTGGTCTCCTTTGTAGCTGCCACAGTATTATTGGTCGATGTGTTAGGGGAGATATTCTCCTTCCATTTCAGCTTCCAGCAGTCAGCCTTGACATGACCTTCGCTTTGCAATAAGCGCACAAGACATCTGGTTTGGATTTTAAGTGAGTCGCTTTCTTCGATGGTGAATCAGGTATCTCGTTCTTTTGTTTTTTCCTTTCTCACCGAAAGTAGAGAAGATTTCTTCTGCGTCGCCATATTCGTATTAGTCAATTGATGCATTCTTTCTAGCAACTCGTCGACTGTTTCAACGTTGATTGACGCAGCAGTATTTCTAACAGAGAAATTATTAATTCCTCCAACCAACAAACTGATATTTTTTTGTTCAAGCTGTAGAGATTGCTTAATCTTCTTTGCAGCATATTCCATAAAACTTTCCTTAGATAAATTCCAACTACAGGCGTCCGTTTTCTGCATCACCCTTATGAAAGATACTTGTCGCCTAAATCTTCTGATAAGAGCGTCCTTGAAGACGAACCATGATGTTGTAAAGGATTCATTGTTCATATCGAACCAATCTCTTGCTAGTTTCTGTAGCTTGCTGGTCGCGGCTAGTAGTTTTATATTATCGTTAACCCTATAAGCAACGTTTTCAACTTTAAGCAATCAACGATTCATGTCGTCATTCTCTGAACCATAAAACACTGGTAATTGAGAGGCTAAAAGAGTAATAGCCTGTGCTGGTGGAACAGTAGCCAACACTGAGTAAGGTTGATAGACAGCAGGAACGTTCGTGATCTCTTCCATCGGAAATCTTGTTTGAGACGTATGAAATCCGTGTGTCTACAGGAATTGACATATACGGAACACTGTTCTTAATTTCTGGGTTACGATTACTACTGGATTTCAAATTCAATGAAGTATCTGATGCAACATTAGTCTGTCTGTTTTTGACTAACTGCTCAAGTAATCGTTGTTGCGCAAGTAACTGTTGTTGCGCAAACTACCAGGTGTACAAGTATGAAATGCGGATTTAAAAAAAACACGTTAAATTTGGAAAAATGATAAAAAGAGCTTTATTTAAAGTATGCTCCATTGCTAGTTACACATTTTTCCTATCTTTCGGGCAATTTGTGGATTCCATGCCAGTAAAAATCTTCCCCCTTTGCCGCGAACCATTCATCGAGCCATTTTTTCACATCTTCGTACGAACCAAAGCGCTGCTCAGCAAGTGCGTGACCCATCGATGCAAACAAGTGATAATCGGAAGGAGCCAAGTCTGGTGAGTAAGCTGCATGGGGTAGAACTTCCCAGCTGAGTGCTTCCAACGTGTCGCGAACCGGTTTTGCCGTATGTGATGGAGCATTGTCATGAAGAAAAATGACATTGTGTTGTCTCTTTTGGTATTCTGGTCTTTTTTCAAGCAGCGAACGGTTCAAATCGATCAATTGTTGTTGGTAGCGTCCAGCATTAACCGTTTCACCAGGTTTTAACAGCTCATAATAGACCACACCCTTCTGGTCTCACCAAACACAGAGCATCGTCTTTCTGCCAAAGCGATTCGGTCTTGCGGTCGATGTGGATGGTGCGCCTGGATCTACCCATGATTTTTTGCTCTTGAGATTCTCAAAATAAATCCACTTTTCATCTCCACTAACGATACAATGCAAAAACGACTTCCTTTTCGCTTGAGATTTTCAAAATAAATCCACTTTTCATCCCCACTAACGATACGATGCAAAAACGACTTCCTGACCCTTGAGAGGATCTTGGCTTAGCTGTGAGTGTTTGTGCAGCATGCAACCTCTCACAATGGTTCGCAAGAGCGTCAATACACTTTTCCCGGTCAGCCATAACGGGTAGACCAAGAACGGGTAGACATTAATTTCTTCTTGAGATCATTAAACGAGAGAGCTTCTAATGATCCATCGTCACGCATTGATCACGTGATATGTTGTATGACGCAACTTCGTAAAAATGAGTATCAAGCCACGTGCACTTGTAAAGACAATGTCGTAATGGCGGCTGGACTTCCCAAAACCGATTCGTGTTCGAATCACTATAGTAGCGATATGATCTTTCGTTAGTGTTCCCGGATACGAAAGGAAAAATGTCTTTTCGCACGATACTTAAACACGGCACGACAAAGCAGAAATGGATACTTATTATCCCACTTCTGAAAAAATAGGTGTTGTAAGGCAGCAACACGACCCCTTTCAAAATTGTAACGTTTCAAAAGGGAATGTAGTCAGGATCAATCCGAAGAAGGGATAATCTAAGAAACTCCTTGGAAGGAAAGGGTGTATAACTAACGTCGTGTATTAACTGTTGAGTTCTTCTTTATTCGAAGTCTGGTAACAGACTGTATCCTGTACAAAAGAATCGCTAAGGATCTTTCTCTTTTTCTGCCCCACTATCACAATTCAACCAATCCCGAGAGGGTATTGTCGACGGGCCAATCGCAAGGCATGGTCAACCGTACGCGGCGATGACGGATTGATCGGAACGCCGCCAGTTATGAGGCGCGAAAACTAAATTTATTCTATAACTGAAGGAGCTATCTTACAGTAGTAAGCTTGATGTAATAAGTAAGAGTAAGAAATTGACCAATTACAGTCCATTTTTCTTCTCACATTTGATTGTGTTTGGTAAATTTTTACTTCTTACACCAAGCTTACTCAGCATATTGTAGATGATAATATAGACTTTTTATTAGAATGCATTACTCTATCTACAATTTTACTGTAAACAAAAACCTAAATGGTTTTTCTGTATTTCTGGAATATATTATAAAGTTATATTTTATATGTTTAGCAAAAGTGTGTTCATTGCATTTTTTGGGAGATTCATTTATGGTACTAAAAAGGAAATCGAAAGTTACAGAGGACAAGAGAAGACTACGCCTTTTCCAGACTGCTATACCAACTTTATTTTCAACATCAACAGAAAAGAGGTATAATTTTTTTGTACGCAATTGTTTTGTTATTATTTTTGATAAATAGTACCATACATTTTTAACATTTTTCAGGACGAATATTATGGTAAACATGGATTTTTAAATTATTCATTGAGAATTTCCACTTGTCAGTAATCCAGGCAGAAACGAGAATGAAGAAATCAGCAGTGAGATTGACGGATAAATCTTGCGGCACGTTACTTCTAACAACAACGAAACTGGTGGCATTGCGGTAACATCAATAGTGGATCCTAGAAGGTAAAATGAAAAATAATTCGTATATTAACGATGCGATGTTATTTCCAGTCCTCCATATACTGTTACGTAACTTTTCATAACTGCGGTCGCACATATGTCATTTCTCTACTCACATAATTTTATTGTCAATGTTACATTATATCTTATATATTTATACAGTAATCCATGATTAAATGAATCGTACTGAGTAACTCATACATCACCAAGTACATTATGTTACATACTCAGGACTGAGTTCAGTCACACGTTTCCTAGGAGGTACGCTGTACACAGGAGTGCTTTTATCAAGATAGGATGATTGAAATTTTAAGTAATACAATACAACTGATTTTTTTACAGATTTGAGTTATATACGTACAACAAGAGAGCGAACACTCCAAGAAAGCACAAACAATGCAACGCGCATTTGAATAAAAATCCTAGAAGGAATCTTGAGCTTGGAAACTACCGCTTTGTCAACACATAGACAACGGTACTTATTTTTTTACATTTTTATATATATTTCGTATGAGGAATATAAAAAAAATGTTCTCGTGAAATGCATTACTATGTACTTTGCTATATTAAATTTTTGTTTTATTTATTTTTTAATTTTTACAATAATATAAATATATGTTAATGTATTTCAAAATTTAATAATAGTAAATTTGAAAAAAAAAGTTTCAATTATACATATATATGTGTTTATATTATTAAAAGTTAAAAAAAGTGTAATTCCAACAAAAGTGTATATTGCTTTATTCTAAATACCAAATTATATGGTGTCTTTCCAGATTTTTGATGGAGAATTGTGATGCAACATCAATAGCAATAGATTTCGCAATGCAAATACCGTCCGAACATCCTAGAGGCATCGAAGCAACAATTGCAAGAGGAAGACCAACAATTACAAGAGAAAGATGAATAATTGAAAAAGATATTTTATTGAAAAGGAACAAATGCTGCAATTGATTAACGATGTTCAAGCACAATCGGCGATTACTACTGCGACTCTCGAAGATGACAAAAAAGAATACGTCACAGAACTGTTAAAATCGTACTGTATATATTGTATATTGTATTTTGTGTATATTATATTTTTTGTACTTTTATATATATTGTAATAGTATTGATATATTTATAAATATTTCATTCTTTAACGAAATTTCGTGCATACGATTTTGAAGAATTTTTAAAAAAATTAACGTTCACGAATTTTTTAGAAAAATACATGTTATGGAAAAAAATTTTAAATGTGATAGAAAAAAAATTTATTGTAATTTTTGTAATTATTACATTACAGAAGTCTAAAATGTATTATTATTTGTGCAAAGTATTTATAAAATATAATAAATTTCCAAATGCAAAATTCTATAGATTCAAAGTTCAAAGAAATGATCATTTAGCTGCAAATCCTTCCAACATTGTTTACTGCATTTTCCTATCCACTTTTCTTACTTACTTCGCTGTCGAAAATCTCACCGAATGATTATTATAATCGACTTCTTAATATACCATACAGTATAATTACTTACTTGCATCGGACTATTCTAAATTACAAAGAGCTTTCGCACTGTATTTTGCTATTAAGTGATAAACAATTCATTATTTTATGGCTGTATCTTACCGGTAACAAATTTTTTATTCACTAGTATATACAAATATACATAAACATATATAAACGAATATATATAAATATGCATAAACATATATAAACATTCAAAAAAATATATAATTATATATGGAATATGTCCATACATCCCCTCTTCCTTTTATAAAATTACTGTTTAATATAATAAAAAAATAAAAATGAAAAAATAAAAAATAGTTACAAGGATAATTTTTGCATTATTTTAGAAAAAAATGAGTTTAGAGAAATGTAAGAATTGCTCATACATAATTATATATAAAATTATACATAATTATGTAGAATTTTTTTTTTACATTTCTCCCCCCTAACTTGATTTTTCCTAAAACAAACAATGCGAAAATTGTTTTTGCCATTATTTATGTTTTTTCATTATTATTATTCTTTTCTTTATAATTTCACAAAAAGAAGGATGAATAATGGACACATATATGGACATATTTCGTATATAATTATATATAATTGTATATTTTTATGAACGTTTATACATGTTAATTTATGCGTGTTTATATATATATTTATGCATGAAAAATTGTTTATCAAGTATATTAATGGTACAATTAATTTTTAACTTAACTTTTAACAAAAATAAATGTATATATTTAATTTATAACTAATAATATTATTTATATATAATATTACAATTTTAATTACCCATAGTAATTCCGTAATTAATAGATATGACACTTGATATTTACTGTACTGATGATATCCTTTTATTTATTCCATATTGGTTATTGACACTGTCATTTTTTATTTAATTTTTTCCAATATTTAATTTAAGGCAGAAATTATAAAGGTTAAAAAGAGAAACTAAGATGCATTACAAAGATTGTTTGAACATGTGTTTCAAAGGAAAGATTCAGTATACCAACGTCTTAATGCGAAATATATTTCGCGTTTCGCAGTTGATAGGCTCATGCCTACTATGAACCGTCAATAGAAGGAGAGTGCATATTTTTAGAAAGAGACACGGTCCAACTGCACACACCATGTAATCCTTCCACCATGCTCCATCCTCTCTTGTGATGTGTCGTGTCCACACAATGGCAGTACCAATTGAGAACGCACATACATTCATATCACTAATTGAGAACAAACACACATTTCGGATACGCACGCCATTTTTAGAGCGTGGCCAGACTCTGGTAGTTCTAGAAACTCTAGAGCGAACCACATTATGGTTGGAGTGAATAGGAGGAGATATGATAGGAACGTGATAGAACATACAATGCTACACACACTAGTATTATGCAGCACTGATATTGTGTGTATGTACCTATATGTATATATACACACATAAGATCTGTTTTTATTGCTGCACTCTGAATCAGTGCAATAAGTTGAAGTGAAACAAATTTACGTTTGTTTTACTTCAACTTATTGCACTGTGTGTACCAGTTCAGAAAGTGCAGCAATAAAAATCAAATCTATATACACATTTGCGAAAGTGCACAATAAATGACGTAACCAATCAGAGAAGAGAACATTTTCCCTTGATTCTCTCTGCCGTGTATCATCGTATATTATCTTATCCTTGTTTAACATTGGCTGTGCTCAGCAGAATGTTTATTTTGCAACTGTTGGAAGTTTTCTTCGCGCTAATTAGGTCATGCTTTTAGATCAAGACGAATGGTCCTATTTCAGCAGACAATCATAAAATGGTTGCAAAACTGCGTTCTGCTGAACGCAACCGTTGGTTGCGTTAGCGGATTCACAGTTGAGTGAGCGCTCGCTGCTATTAATATATTCTTTTAGATCGTCCAATTTTAGATCCGGAAGAATATATTAATACCAGCGAGCGCTCACTCAACTATTAAATCCGTTGAACGCACCCATTAGGTGAAAAACAAGGATAAAATGATACACGGAAGAACTCGGATGATGTTTCCGAACGCAGCCATGACAGTGAGCTCTGTACCATGGTGGAAGAATTTAAGGCGAGATATTCCCGTGGATGTGCATTCGTCCAAAGTAGTGGTGGGGCTTTGATCAATCAGAGATTTATTCCAAACTTTAAAAAACTGTAAGTTAAGTTAGTTAAGTACCGACAAGATACTATTAAACGGTCGACGCTTATGGAAATTCGCGTGCCTGTTAAAATTTAAGCAATTAAGAATAAGAAACTAATAATACGGTATTAATTTCATGATTTATTAGTTTTTTGTAGACATGTATATAAGTTTAAAACTTAATAATACTCGATTTTGATGTAAACTATGATTTTAATGTTATTATCAGGGTTTAATTATCAATAGAAATGATAACTGCAGAGAAAAAATTGTAATTTTTCGGCAATATTTAAGATATTATATATAGCATTAAAAGTATGCATTACTTATTTATATAACAAAAAAATCACGAATTTAATAATATATTATCGAAATATAATATAAGGTGTAGTAAAAAGAAATCTATTATTTTTGCATTAAATTGAAGGCTTTATTTAGCATAGTTAGAATGATCCGATTTAGGTCAAATATGCACCGTTTTGTTCGATAACTTGTTGCCATTTTGAAGGTAATTTCATTATGCCTCTCTCATAGAAACCCTCGTCCCT